AAACATGTCAAGACAGTGCATGGTCCTGACGCCCATGTGACCAAGCGGCACCGTGGGGACGGCCCTCTGCCTCGGGCACCCTCCCTTTCTACGGTGGAGCCCAAGAGGGAGAGGGAAGGAGGCCCCATCAGGGAGGAGAGCAGACTGACTGTGCCAGAGGGTGCCATGGTGAGACAGCCCAGGCAAACTCCGCCTTCATACCCACAGCCTGCCCTGTGGACAACTTTCTAGTTACTTCCCAACCCATCCATTCCCTCCTATGGAAATCACTCTTCTGTGACGTCTGCCTGTCTCTTGTCTCAATGTTGCTCTTTGGGCTTCCCCAAGTCTAGAAATTTTAGAATCTTTATTTTCTCTTTTCTTTTTATTTATTTTATTTTATTTTATTTTTTTGGGGGACGGAGTTTCGCTCTTGTTACCCAGGCTGGAGTGCAATGGGGCGATCTCGGCTCACCGCAACCTCCGCCTCCTGGGTTCAGGCAATTCTCCTGCCTCAGCCTCCTGAGTCGCTGGGATTACAGGCACGCGCCACCATGCCCAGCTAATGTTTTGTATTTTTAGTAGAGACGGGGTTTCACCGTGTTGACCAGGATGGTCTGGATCTCTTGACCTCGTGATCCACCCGCCTCGGCCTCCCAAAGTGCTGGGATTACAGGCGTGAGCCACCGTGCCCGGCCCTCTTTTTATTTTTTATTTTTGACAGGGTCTTGCTCTGTCACCCAGGCCAGAGTATAGTAGCATGATCATAGCTCACTGCAGCCTCTAACTTTTAGGCTCAAGTGATCCTCCTGCTTCAGCTCTCCTAGAGCTGGAACTACAGGCACACACCATCATGCCTGGCTAATTTTTTTTTTGAGACAGTCTTGCTCTGTCTCCCAGGCTGGAGCGCAGTGACATGATCTCTGCTCATTGCAACCTCCACCTCCCAGGTTCAAGCGATTCTCCTGCCTCAGCCTCCTGAGTAGCTGGGATTACAGGTGCATGCCACCCCGCCCAGTTAATTTTTGTATTTTTATTAGAGATGGGGTTTCACCATGTTGGTCAGGCTGGTCTTGAACTCCTGACCTTGTGATCTGCCCACCTCAGCCTCCCAAAATGCTAGGATTACAGGCGTGAGCCACCCCAGCCTAGCCTCTTTTTTTCTTTTTTATAGAAATGGAGTCTCGCGGCCAGGCACAGTGGCTCACGCCTGTAATCCAAGCACTTTGGAGGCCAAGGCGGGCAGATCACCTGAGGTTGGGAGTTCAAGACCAGCCTGACCAACACGGTGAAACCCCCTCTTAAAAAAATAATAAAATAAAAAAAAAAAAGAAAAAAAAAGAAATGGAGTCTCGCTTTGTTGACCAGGCTGGTCTCAAACTCCTGGCTTCAAGCAATCCTTCCCACAGTGCTGGGATGAGCCAATGCATCCAGCCCAAACTCTTTCTTAAATAGCACTTAGTATATGTTTTAAGCCTTTTTCACGTATAATTTCATGCATTCTTCACAGCAACTTCATGAGAAAGGGACTCACTCTTCCCATTTTCAGACGAAGAAACTCAGGCATAGAGAAAGAGCCCAAGGTCATAGAACTAAGAGCAAGAATTTGAGTCCAGGCAGTCCGTGCTCCAGCCTAGGCTCTTCTCATCAAACATCTTGCATTCAGTTTGCTCCCCGCCACCGCCCTATCTCTTACCTGCTTTGCTCTCTCTGTACTTATAAGCTTCCTTGGAACCCAGCAGTCACTAGGACACAGGCTTCTGCCACGCATCAGGTTGAATGAGTTGTGGGAAGGGTGTTGCCCTCAGATCTCATCTTCTCCACAGAAGTCACAGCCAAGCCCTGGGGCCCAGTCATCCTGCAGCAGCGACCACTCCCCGGCAGGCAGTGCAGCCAATACAGACAGCGGTGTGGAAATGACCGGCAATGCAGGGGGCAGCACTGAAGACCTCTCCAGCCTGGACGAGGGGCCTTGCATTGCTGGCACTGGTCTGTCCACTCTCCGCCGCCTTGAGAACCTCAGGCTGGACCAGCTGCATCAACTCCGGCCAATAGGGACCCGGGGTCTCAAACTGCCCAGCTTGTCCCACACCGGTGAGACCTGGGTGTGGGAGGTATGGCTGGGCTGAGATCTGGACCTGCCCTGAGGTTGAGAGGAGGAAGTCACCCTTGACAGCTGCCACATGGCACCTTTGTTTAATTAGAAAGAGGTCTCCTTCCTCAAGACACTTTCCATTTATCAGAAAATGGATGTACAGCCGGGCGCGGTGGCTCAAGCCTGTAATCCCAGCACTTTGGGAGGCCGAGGCGGGTGGATCACGAGGTCAAGAGATCGAGACCATCCTGGTCAACATGGTGAAACCCCGTCTCTACTAAAAATACAAAAAATTAGCTGGGCATGGTGGCGTGTGCCTGTAATCCCAGCTACTCAGGAGGCTGAGGCAGGAGAATTGCCTGAACCCAGGAGGCAGAGGTTGCGGTGAGCCGAGATCGTGCCATTGCACTCCAGCCTGGGTAACAAGAGCGAAACTCCGTCTCAAAAAAAAAAAAAAAAGAAAATGGATGTACAAATATGCAAACGCTAGCTGGGCATGGTGGTGCGTGCCTGTAACCCCAGCTACTCGGGAGGCTGAGGCAGGAGAATCGCTTGTACCCAGGAGGCGGAGGTTGCAGTGAGCCACTCCAGCTTGGGCAACAAGAATGAAACTCCATCTCAAAAAACAAACAAACAACAACAACAAGAAAAAAAACAAATATGCAAAGGCTATGATATGAATGCTGTTTCCTAGGACTGTGCAGCATACAACCTGTACAACTGTTCATAGCGGCCCGGAATCCTTGGTAACACAGAAACAGAATAGGCATGGGAAAAGTGAGAGACAGAACTGAGTGGTTAGGGATAACGAGCTTATCCTGGGAATCCAGGGCAAGGCTGTTGCATGGAGGAGGCAGGGTGAGATTTAGGAGGCTTCTTGACCTCCTACCTTTTCTTCCCATCACTTGTAGGTACCCCTGTGTCCCGCCGCCTGGGCCCCCCAGTCTCTCTTGACCGCCGCAGCAGCAGCTCCAGCAGCATCAGCTCTGCCTATACTGTCAGCCGTCGCTCCTCCCTGGCATCCCCTTTCCCCCCTGGCTCCCCGCCAGAGAATGGAGCGTCCTCCCTGCCTGGCCTTATGCCTGCCCAGCACTACCTGCTCCGGGCAAGATACGCTTCAGCCAGAGGGGGTGGTACCCCACCCACTGCAGCATCCAGCCTGGATCGGATAGGGGGTCTTCCTGTGCCTCCTTGGAGAAGCCGAGCCGAGTATCCAGGATACAATCCCAATGCAGGGGTCACTCGGAGGGCCAGTGACCCAGCCCGGGCTGCTGACCGTCCCGCTCCAGCTAGAGTCCAGAGGTTCAAGAGCCTGGGCTCTGTCCATATAACACCCACTGTGGCAGGGGGAGGACAGAACTTCGATCCTCACCTCCCCACCTCTGTCTACTCACCACAGCCCCCCAGCATCACTGAGAATGCGGCCATGGATACTAGAGGGCTACAGGAGGAGCCAGAAATTGGGACCTCCATGATGGGAAGTGGTCTGAACCCCTATATGGACTTCCCACCTGCTGATACTCTGGGATATGGGGGACCTGAAGGGGCAGCAGCTGAGCCTTATGGAGCGAGGGGTCCAGGCTCCCTGCCTCTTGGGCCTGGTCTGCCCACCAACTATGGCCCCAACCCCTGTCCCCAGCAGGCCTCATATCCTGACCCCACCCAAGAAACATGGGGTGAGTTCCCTTCCCACTCTGGGCTGTACCCAGGGCCCAAAGCTCTAGGTGGAGCCTATAGCCAGTGTCCTCGACTTGAACATTATGGACAAGTGCAAGTCAAGCCGGAACAGGGATGCCCAGTGGGGTCTGATGCCACAGGACTGGCACCCTGCCTCAATGCCCACCCCAGTGAGGGGCCCCCACACCCACAGCCTCTCTTTTCTCACTACCCCCAGCCCCCTCCTCCCCAATATCTGCAGTCAGGCCCCTATACCCAGCCACCCCCTGATTATCTTCCTTCAGAACCCAGGCCTTGCCTGGACTTTGATTCCCCCACCCATTCTACAGGGCAGCTCAAGGCTCAGCTTGTGTGTAATTATGTTCAGTCTCAACAGGAGCTGCTGTGGGATGGTGGGGGCAGGGAAGATGCCCCAGCCCAGGAATCTTCCTACCAGAGTCCCAGGTTTCTTGGGGGTTCCCAGGTTAGCTCAAGCCCTGCTAAAGCTCCAGTGACCACATATGGACCTGGCTTTGGACCCAATTTACCCAATCACAAGTCAGGCTCTTATCCCACCCCTTCACTATGCCATGAAAATTTTGTAGTGGGGGCAAACAGGGCTTCCCATAGTGCAGCGGCACCACCTCGACTTCTGCCCCCATTGCCCACTTGCTATGGGCCCCTCAAAGTGGGAGGCACAAACCCCAGCTGCGGCCATCCTGAGGTGGGCAGGCTGGGAGGGGGTCCTGCCTTGTACCCTCCTCCTGAAGGACAGGTATGTAACCCCCTGGACTCTCTTGATCTTGACAACACTCAGCTGGACTTTGTGGCTATTCTGGATGAGGCCCAGGGGCTGAGTCCTCCTCCTTCCCATGATCAGAGGGGCAGCTCTGGACATACCCCACCTCCCACTGGGCCCCCCAACATGGCTGTGGGCAACATGAGTGTCTTACTGAGATCCCTCCCAGGGGAGACACAATTCCTCAACTCTAGTGCCTAAAGAGTAGGGAATCTCATCCATCACAGATTGTATTTCCTAAGGAGTTTCTATCCTCCCAGAAAAATTGGAGGAGCTGCAATCCCCTGCACAAGATGCCCCAGGGATGGGAGGTATGGGCTTGGGGGCTATGTATAGTCTGTATATGTTTTGAGGAGAAATTTGATAATGACACTGTTTCCTGATAATAAAGGAACTGCATCAGAAAAATGCTGCTTTATGTGTTATTATGTTGGGGGGAATGATAACAGGGAATAAGAAGAGAAGCAGGGGTGAAAACACTCACTTTCCTCTTTGGAGAAGCTCCCTCACCCATCCCAACCCCTCAAGTCACACTCATGAAGATGAAGATGGAGACAGTCATTTGGGAGATTTAAAGGGATGTCCTCAAAACAGAACACCAGCCTCCCACCACCAGAGATGATTGGAAACAGGTTTTCTCTTCTTCCTTGCCTGGGTCAGGGGAACAGGCTGGTGAAGTTGGTGAGCATCAGCTGGACCAGCTGCCCTGGGTAGAGAGCATGGGCTGCTGGGTCAGATGTCTCCTGCTCTGGCCGAAACAGGGTTGGTCCAAACACAATTCCCAGGTTGTGGGGTGTCATGCGATTCTTATCTGAGTGTGCTATCACCCTGTGGGCAAAGGCCAAGAAGGGGGATATATGGCAGCAGCTTGGCACTTCATAGCAATCTAACCCTTCAAAGGTCTGAGCAGGGAAGAGTTCACCCTGGGATCCCTCCATGTGGTGACAAAAAAAAAAAAACAACAAGGAGCTGTGAGGGGAATGAAAATGGACCCGTGGAGAAACCTTCAGGATACAATCTGAATATACAACTGCCTCTTCCACCTTCAGTGACCACCCCAAGAGTTCTATCTGCTCACTGTATGGGAGGTTTTAATTCAAATGGCCATCCCCTCTCAGAAGTCACTGCCTAGGCCCAGTTCAACGAAAGAAGCCATCAGCAATGCCCCAATGACAGACAAAGAGGCAGAGGGAAGTGAGAGGCAGGATTTCCCTTATTTCTCTCACAACATCTTGGTTCCATTTTCCCATTTGATGCTGACCTAAAGGTTTTGACCCTAGCCACGTGTGGTGGCTCATGCCTGTAATCCCAGCACTTTGGGAGGCCGAAGCAGGTGGATTACCTGAGGTCAGGAGTTCGAGACCAACCTGGCCAACATGGTGAAACTCGGTCTGTACTAACAGTACAAAATTAGCTGGGCGTGGTGTCGGGCGCCTGTAGTCCCAGCTACTCGGGAGGTTGAAGCAGGAGAATTGCTTGAACCCAGGAGGCAGAGGTTGCAGTGAGATAAAATTGCACCACTACACTCCAGCCTGAGCAACGGAGCGAGACTCCATCTCAAAAATAAATAAATAAAGGCTTTGACCCTGGTAATATGTTCCTGCACAGAGGTTGCTTGTCTCCTCACCTGCCCAGTAAACAGGTGCTTCCCTACCTTCAGTCCACCTGCACAGAGTCCCTGTGGCATCCCCTACTCCACCTTTCCCCAGCATGAACAAAGAGGTTCAGTCTTCCCGACCTGCATAAATGCTCCAGGAGATACCGTAGAGTGTCGTGGTTGGGCTTTGGCATTGAGCCTATTAACTCTTGTATCTGAGAGAGGCACTGCTCTGATTCGGAAAGTGCTAGAAAGAGAGAGTGATGGGAAGGCATAGTAGTGAGGTTAGGGAAGGTGCTGCGACAGGTGGGTAAATTCACTGCTCTTTCCCATAGCCATGGAAGACATCATTAATCTGGCACAGATTTGGCCGGGCGCGGTGGCTCAAGCCTGTAATCCCAGCACTGTGGGAGGCCGAAGCGGGTGGATCACGAGGTCAAGAGATCGAGACCATCCTGGTCAACATGGTGAAACCCCGTCTCTACTAAAAAATACAAAAAAAATTAGCTGGGCATGGTGGCGCGTGCCTGTAATCCCAGCGACTCAGGAGGCTGGGGCAGGAGAATTGCCTGAACCCAGGAGGCGGAGGTTGCGGTGAGCCGAGATCGCGCCATTGCCCTCCAGCCTGGGTAACAAGAGTGAACCTCCGTCTCAATAAAAAAAAAAAAAAAAAAAAATCTGGCACAGATTTTTTTCATATAGCCCAACTACAGCTTCATAATTCTTTTCAACTTGGCCCTCTAAACATTCACAAAAAAGCAACTGGAGTAGGCACCTGAGTTGAATGGTATTTTCCATCTCTGAGGTCAGAATGAGGGAGAAGAGTGTAAGGGAATCTCTATTCTATTATTTACCACTTGTGTCCCTCATATCAAGGGTTATTTCTAAAGTTCCAACTCTTACCAAGGGCAGCTCGGAAATGGGGCAGCAGCAGTGGGGGCACCAGAGGCTGGGGCAGCTCCCGGAGAAAAAGCTTCAGGGCTCCAGTGACCACATGAATGTCATCCCACTCAGCACTGTCCAAATCTAACCGACCTTCTGGAGGGAGAAGGAGATATAGGGGCTTCAGGGCTCATGAAGGGCCAGGAAGATGTAGAGACCAAGAGATTAAAAGTTCTGGAGAAATCCAGTCAATGCAGACTATAGGAATGCCTAGTGGGTCTGCAGGGGGGCAAGGTAGCTAAGGTGGGAATGCAGACAACCCTCCTAGGAGGGGTACATGGGGGTATCCATGGGAAGCAAAGACGGTATGGGGAAATCTTAGGGGTCTGACGGGTGTTCCATGTAAGTACCTTGTCCTGGCTGTTCTGGGAACAGATACCTCCCATCGGAGGTGACTGCACGCTCTGCAACATGAACCAGGAGAGATCAGGAGCTAAGACACGCACTTCCATCCTGAAGGCCTCCCTGTTCTGCCAGCTTCATCATGCAGAAGCACCCATGATTCTCAGGTAAGACATTTTTAGAACAACCACTGGCCCACAAGCCTTCTCACCTCTGTCCACCAGAAAACGAAGTTTCTGGACCACTGCCAAGTTCCCACTCACCCGATAAATGCCATCCACATCTAGACCTGGGAGATGAGGAAGGATTTGATGAGGACTGCTGCTTGAAAGTGTGTGTGGTGAGGGATATAAGGGTGGAGAGAAAAAGGGCAGTAGGAAGACTAAGTAGAATGGGGGAGGCAGAAAATTCTAGGCCTTAGCCTGTTGGAAGAGGATTCTGGGGTCTCTGGGAAAGTGACCTCTTTTATCCACAGCAGCAATGCAGAGTCGCACAAAGCTGGGCACCGTGTCTCCTTCCCGCTGGCAGAGTGATTCCAACTGGCAGCCGAACACCTGGTCTGGGAGGCACAGAGTGAGGCGGGAAGCCAGTGCCAGCGTCACTTAAGGGAGCTCTTCTTAGCATAGGTCTTTATCCTCAAGTGTGGCTGGTCCTTCTGCCTGCCTGTGGCAGACCTGGTCAACGAAATATACGCCATCCCCCCGCCCCCCATCCCCTGCTTCAAACAATCTGGTAAGGGGGCACACATCTCCCTGGCTTTTCCCCTAAACAATCTGTAGTAGTGGGGAAAGTAGCAGTCACAGTAGGCTGTGGTCTAGTTCTGGGAAGCTCTACTCTGAGCCCCGCTGGAGTTTTCTTATCCATGAACCTGGCCCAGCCCCCTCACCTCGGAGCAGACCCCGCTCCTGCAGGCTTTGCAAGGGCGGTCTCTTCGCGATGAGCCGCTTCAGTTTGTTGCGCACACGGTTCTGCTCTGCGCCTTCGGGTAGCCGACCTGCAGGAGGCAAGTGGAGCAGGGCGTGAGCGCACGCCATAGACGCCATACCCCACGCCATGAAAGTCCAGTCCGGCCCGTCACTCACTGGAGCTCCGGCGGCCGCTGAGGCGCAGCAGCGGCTTGGACACCGTCTCCGACTCCTCTTCTTCGTCCTCCCCAGCGCTCAGCTCTGCCAGCTCCGCGGGTCCCGAGCCCGACAGACGCAGCTCCAGGGGGTTCTCCCGATCCTAGACCCGGGGCGGGGCGGGACGTGTCGAAAGTGAAAGAGGAGAGAAATCCGCACCCCTAGCTGGAAGCAGGGAGACTCTGACCCACTGCCGGGGTCCCACGTCCCAAACCTGCCCCAGGCCAGAGGTCTCCACGGAGCCCACACTGTCCCCACCGGCCCTGACTCCTATCCTACCACACACTCCCTCTGCCCCGGCCGGCCGGAGCCTCTCTCCCGGCCACCACCCATCTAACCAGCCGCTCGATGACCGCCCGCAGCGCGCCGTGCCAGGCTCGCAGCTCGGTCTCTTGGTCGGACTGCAGCAGGAACTCATGGCCAGGGACCGTGCGGATCTGAGGGCCAGGAGGGGAAAGCTAGGGTCAACGAGGAAGAGGATAAAAAGTAGGGAGGATGAGCGGGAGGCCCGCGCGGGAGATTGGGGGCGCCCTCGGGTCGGGTAGAGCCTTGGGGACGCGCGCGCGGGAGGGCGCTCACGTGCAGGACGTTGCGGCGGCTGGACAGGTGGCGGCCGTGCGCCAGAGCCGCCCCGCGCAGGTCCACGCTACTTTCGGGCCGGCTACCCGGTGGCCCCTGACAATGAGGGAGGAAACTGAGGCCGCGGTGTTGTTTCCTTCACTGCTTCCCTCTCCCCGGTGGGCTGCGAGGAGGGGGAGGCTGCCTCACTTCTTTACCTTCCTCTCCACCGCCCTCCCCGCCGCCGCCCACCCCCCCACATTGGCGTGAGGCAGGAGGCAGCGCCCTAACCCCTTCTGCGCCCCTCGCTCACACTCACCCAGCCCGAGGAGGGCGCCGTCGGCGGTGGCTCTCGGTAGAACACCAGGCTGTTACCCGCTAACACCACCCAAGACGGGCCCCAGTTCTTCCTGCAGGGGTGGAGGGGGAAGGTAGTGGTGGCTAAAAGGTCATTCTAGAATGCCACGGGGAGGGTGCTCTTCTAACACCCTGTTCTGCCCTAGGGAGTCGACAGCCCAGACCCTAGCTGGATTCCGGATTCTCACCTGAGCTTGCGCCCCCCTTGGGCAATCTTGGTCATATTGAGCAGGCCGGACTTTTCCACCTCCTGGGAAGTGGAGGGAGGGAATGGTATCTGTAAGTCACCCGGCGCCCTCCACAGTGGCCACAGCTTTCCCTAGGGGGTCTCCCAGGAGTAAAGTGCCTTAAAGTTGCTGGGAGAGGGCTGGGTAAGAGGATATTCAGAAAGAGGAAGATGTTTTTGAGGAGCGGGAATTGGGGGGTGGGGCAGGGAGGATCTTGTTATTCACAAAGAAATGGGAGATTCACATGGGGGTCGTCCAGGAGCTGCGGCAGAGGTCGAGAGGGCCGCAAGGCTGGAGTGTCAAGCTGCAAGGCGCGTTGGCTGAGGCTGAGGGAGCCCTGGGGAAGAGGATTGGAGAAACAGGTGGGGAAACCCTGGAGTCAAGGATCCCTGGCTGAAGGAGGAAGAGGGGTGGGATGCCCGTGAGAGGCAGGGGGTGTGGTGGGGAGTGGAGAATGTCTTACATAAAATAGAAAGTCATAACAAGCTGGCTTTTTCTGCATGTGATTGGGAGATGGGAGGGATCTCACCTGTGGGTCAATCGGTGCTGGGGTCCCTGTGTCAGATCCTAAGCCCCTTGCCTGAGGCTGCAGGACATCATTGTCCCTCTTCCGGGTCTGTGTCCCCTCCATGGAGCCAGGGTTCTGGGTCAGGAGAGGAGGAAATAAAGCTACATCCAGATGCCACCTCTATCCGCTCTCCACACCCTTACACTTGGCTGATTCTTCTGATCTTCTGAGAGCCCCAGAGAGAAAACCCATTACCTTGAGGTTCAGTAGGGGAAGGAGGAGCTTGAGGGGACAGTGGAGAAACAGGAGGTAAGGTCTCACCGTCTGGCCACGACTGCGCCGTGGGGGCTTCCAGGACTTGCAGCCAGTCAGTGAATTTATGTAGAAGCAGCGTCCAGAGTTGGGGTCCAGGTGCTGCTCCCAGGCATCCAGCCTCTGCAGCAGGGGGCATGCAGGGCCTGGGGGTGGGGACCGGGGACAGCAGCGAAGGTCCACCAGGTTACAGTACACAGGGGGCTCTGACATGAGGGGCTGGGGGCCTGCCTGCCAGAAAAGGAGGAAGAAGGAGGTGGTCATTCTGCCTGCTGCCTTCCCCACACTTCTCTCAGCCTTCCCAGCTCCTGCTTTCTCCCCCACCGTCTTCTCACCTCCAGCTCCCAGCTGAGGTGACCCAGGTACTGGGGGAGAAACCCCAGGCCCCAGCTGCTTTTTTAAAATTTTCTCTCTCACAGTTTTCTTTGCTCTTCTCCTCACTTCCTGTTGCCAACTTCCCTCCTCCCCCACCCCACCCCCACCTCAGGGCCACAGGAAAGGGGAACCGGCTTTTTGTGGGGGGGTGTGGGGGGGAATGCTGAAGGGAGTGCTTCACCCTCACATCCTTCAGGGTAAAAGAAGACAAAGAAGGGTCTACAGGATGGAGAAGGGGCCCCTTTCCATCCACCATTGAGAAAGAGAGGGAGGGGTTGAGCAAGTCACATCTCCAGAGGGGACAAGCTATGACCTAGCAGGCAAGGTGAACACAGGAAAACCCTGCCCTGGGCTAGGAGTCTGCAGGGAGAAAGAGCACAGGGCTGGCCTTCAGTGCCTCCACCGCACCCTGTTCCCTGTCCCCTGGGGCCTTTGCTACCTGCCATCACTTCTCACCTCCTACCCAGTTTTGCCTCTTTCTCCTCCTTGTTCAGAGTCAGCTGAATGTGTCACCTCACAGATGCCTCCTGGCTCCACCCCAGCCACTCTCCACCACATTAACTTGCCTTTGTAGACTTATCAGTAGTACCAAGGGTTATCTTATTTGTTTTTGTGTTTGTCACCCCCAGGGGAGTCCCTTGAAGTCAGGAGTGCTATCTGTCCTGTGCCCAGAACAGGGTCCAGCTTGGAAGCGCTGTGACTTACTGTGCTGGCACTGGCTTCTGAGGGCAAGTCTTCCCGGGAGAGGAATCTTCCATTTGGTCCTTCCTGGAAAGGCTTCAGAAGGCTGGGCCTCAAATTGTCACTGCTGACGCTCCTACACATTTTGGGGGGAAGTGGAGGAGGCTGCTCTGAACTAGCCTGATCCCTGCTTGGAAGGGCCTGAGATAACTCTTCCAGGGAACCATGAAACAACTTTGGTCCTGGAAACAGAAAAGGGGAGGGTGGGTGGCAGGTAATCAGAGGTGTTGTTGTAACTAGGTCCCCCATCTTGGGGGCTCACAGGGAAGACAAGGAGGGCAGAGGGAGGATGTGGAAAATGATATGAGACCTAGAAGCCTTGGAACTAGGAGGACAGGCAGTGGGATGAGGACACCACGGCGGGGGTGGGAGGTAGGCCGATCAAAGGGAAGCAGGAGAAGATGGCTAGCAGAAGCTTGAGGGAGGGGGGTCCTCCCAACAATTCCCAGAATCCAGGGAGACAGGAAGGTGATGGAGGGGGGTTTAGCGGTTACTCACCAGGAGTCCAGACCAATTGACTGGGGATGACGGTAGCTGGGCTCTGGGAAGGGATGGATTCCTCTGTCATATAGGCCGCTGGGACGAAGATGGGTCGAGAGGTGGAGGGAGCTTCTAGGCGCCTTGCCAACCACCAGTCAGAGTTGGTCTTTCGAAGCAGTTGGAACCTGTCCCCTTCAGCCAGAGACACCTGCCGACCATCTGCCCCCGTATAAGTAAAGGCATAGAGGGCACAGAGCTGGGATCCCCGAGAAGGGCTTCGGGGACCCAGCCCTAGGCTCCCCCAGGAACTTGGCCACCACCGGCCGGACAGCATTGTAGCCAGCACTGTCACCTGTGGGAAAAAGTGGTACTGGAGACCCAGAAGGGAACAGGCCTGGCTGTCTCCAGGTAGAGAGACATGGTTCTAGGAGCAGTGTTGCGGGAGGTGAGGATGGAGCCCTTGAGTGGGAGGAGAGGGTAGAGCAAACAGCCTGGTGAGGGTCAGTGGCAGGTTTTGGGGGCTGAGAACTGGTGGTGTCTGGTGAGGAAATATGTAACACGAGAGAGGATGTGGTCAGCAGGGCTGCATGGCCGACAAGGCAGGAAATTATAGGAGATGGCCTAAGTGGGTCGTTTTCCTCCAGGTACCTTGTGGGGCCCATCAGAAGATCCAGGGGCAGGCGTTGGTCCAGGGTGGTGGTGGGAGTCTTGAGCTGGACACAGGAAGGAGATAAGAAGAAAGAATCAGGTTTGAGACAGAAACAGGGAGACACAAGGTTAATGACAAAGACAAAAATGTGTGTCACCCTTTATTAAATTTGCACAAGCATCAGTGTTTCCGTTACCAATCACCTCAGACCTAAAGCTGCATGCTTCCTGTGCAGACTGAGAGAGACATGGTGACAGAGAAACAGAAAGCCAAATAAATAGCAAGACCGAATCACAGAGAGAGACAAAGTGGGAGAAACACAGAGGGGTTCAGAGTTGAAATATCATCAGCCTCCCGATCCAGGACAAGATTTTGGGAGCTGAGAAGCCTTGATATTAACCTATATACATAAGCCTTTTGGGGCGGGGGATACTTTAGTGTATGGGTTCATTCATTCATGGTCTTTGTTTGTTTGTTTGTTTGTTTGAGATGGAGTCTTGCTCTGTTGCCAAGCTGGAGTGAAATGGCGCGATCTCGGCTCACTGCAACCTCCGCCTCCTGGGTTCAAGTGATTCTCCTGCCTTAGGCTCCCAAGTAGCTGGGACTACAGGCGTGCGCCACGATGCCCACTAATTTTTGTATTTTTAGTATAGAGGGTTTTACCGCGTTGGCCAAGATGGTCTCGATTTCTTGACCTTGTCATCCACCCGCCTCGGCTTCCGAAAGTGCTGGGATTACAGGCGTGAGCCACCACGCCCAGCCTATTCATGCTCTTAACGAGGATTGACTGAGCGCCTGCTGTGTGTAAGAGCAGTGTCAGGCACTGGAGATGAGAGAAGGGAATGAGCCCTCTTGGAGCTTAAAGAGAGACCGATCTTAACTAATGACACAATAAACTTAATAATTACAATTGAAAGAGAGACAATGGACAATAATACAAGATACTATGGCATGTGGATAGGGGACTGATGTCAGCTTCTCCCTGGTGGAAGGTGGGAACTGACCTTCTCTAGATTCCCAGCACTTTAAAACCCACACTTCCGCTTCCCCCTTACCTGACCACTCCTCTTTTCCCCTTCTCTCAGCTTCTCTACTGCACAACGTGAGGCTTTCTGTTTGGCTTTGGAGAAGTGGGTTAGGGAGGGAATGCCCCTCCCCTCTGGAGATATCAGAGAGCCAGCTCTCTTCCCCTGAGGGCTGGGTGGCTAGTACTGGGCTTCTGCCTCAGTGATCTTCCTTCTTAGTTTACTTCACTTCAACACATGGAGAGCCCTACACCTCAAATCTTCCTTCCCACTTCCAAAATAGTGACTAACTTCACCCATTTATTCACTTATTCACATTTGGTGTTCAGTGATTGAATCCACCCTTTTATGCCTTCTCTGAAGCTCTCTCTTTTTGTTGGCTCCTTTGCATCCACTTTTAAATATATCCAAGTTTTTATGTTAACATATCCAAGATAAACATCTCCCATCTTTAGCTAAATCTCCCCTTACTAGGCTTTCTGGGCACCACCATATGTCTCTCCCTGTCTTTTTTTTTTTGTAGAGACGGGTTTCGCCATGTTGGACAGGCTGGTTTTGAACTCCTGACCTCAAGTGATCCACCCGCCTTGGCCTCCCAAAGTGCGGTGATTACAGGCGTGAGCCACCGCGCCCAGCCCTTCTTTGAGATGAAGTCTTTCTCTGTCGCCAGGCTGGTGGAGGGCAATGGAGCCATCTCAGCTCACTGCAACCTCTGCCTCCCAGGTTCAAGTGATTCTCCTGCCTCAGCCTCTCAAGTAGCTGGGACTACAGTGCACACCACCATGCCCAGTTAATTTTTTATACTTTTAGTAGAGACGGGGTTTCACCATGTTGGTCAGGATGGTCTCAGTCTCTTGACCTTGTGATCTGCCCGCCTTGGCCTCCCAAAGTATAGGGATTACAGGCGTGAGCCACCCAGCCTCTCTCTTTCTTCTTACAGTCAAACTTCTTGAGCTGCCTACATTCTATAGGGGATCTCCATTTCCTCTCCCCTCACTCCCCCGCCTTTTCAAAGTCACTCTTCAACAGAGTCACCCCCAACCTTGCATGAACACTCTGCAGTCCTTATGTTGCCTGACATCTCAACAGCAGGCAGCACAACTGACCTTCCTCTTCTGCTGGTGTCCCTCTTACCTTTCTAGCAGTTCCTACTCTGTGGCATGATGAATGGCCTTCCTTTGCCTGTTCCTTAAACCACAGAAGCCTGTCTGAGATCCTGTGCCCTGTGCTCTCTGCATGCCCCCCGCTGCTGGGTGGTCTTATTCTCTCTCCAGCTCAAATGACTTCCATATGCTTCTAAGGACCATGTCTCCAGCCCAGATCTTTCTCTGTGGCTCCCATCTGATCCACTGTCCACCAAAAAATCCACTTGAGTATTTTGCAGGTACCACAAACTCAGTATGAACCAAACTGAACTTGTCAGCTTTCCCCACAAACCTGTTTCTCTTCCAATACCACTATTTAGTTTAATATGAATTCAATAAATATTGGCCTGGCACAGTAGCTCACACCTGTAATCCCAGCACTTTGGGGGGCTGAGGCAGGAATATTACTTGAGCCCAGGAACTTGAGGTGCAACATAGTGAGATCCCATCTCTACAAAAAGATTTTGTTTTTGGTTTGGCACGTGTGGCAGCGTGTGCCTTGTAGTCTCAGCTGCTAGGGCAGCTGAGGTGGGAGTATCTCTTGAGCCTGGGAAGTTGAGGCTGCAGTGAGGTATGATAGTGCCACTGCACCCCAGCCTAGGGGACAGAGTGAGACCCTGTCTCAAAATACATAAAATAAATTTAATAAATATTTATTGAATGTTTACTATCATATATGCCAGGCAGGAACTATGTGCTAGGCATTGTCAATTAAGATGGTAAATAGGCCGGGCGCGGTGGCTCAAGCCTGTAATCCCAGCACTTTGGGAGGCCGAGGCGGGTGGATCACGAGGTCAAGAGATTGAGACCATCCTGGTCAACATGGTGAAACCCCGTCTCTACTAAAAAACTACAAAAAAAAAAAAAAAAAAGATGGTAAATATGGGGCCTGTAATGCTGCACTTTGGGAGGCCGAGGAAGGCGGATCGCCTGAGGTCAGGAGTTCAAGACCAGACTGGCCAATGTGGTGAAACCCCATCTCTACTAAAAATACAAAAATCAGCTGGGCGTGGTGGCGGGCGCCTGTAATCCCAGCTACTCAGGAGGCTGACGTAGGAGAATTGCTTGAACCCAGGAGACAGAGGTTGCAGTGAGCCAAGATCACAGCACTGCACTCCAACCTGGGCAACAGATCAAGACTACATCTCAAATAAAAAAGGTCCCTGCCCACTCATAACAATGAAAATATGATGTAATAATGATCACTATGATAGAGGAAGTCCTATCATCTATTGCAGCACACAGAAAGTATGTCCGATTGCCCATGCCAGAAACCTAGCAGTCAACCTGAATTTAGCTTGTTTCCTCACCACCCACATTGATTCAATTGATTACTGAACACTTCAATTCATATTTTCCCACTCTGCCTACTTTTTTATCCCCACAACTACCACTCCTTTAGCCTGGATGATATAACTTCCTAATCTCATTGCATATAGTTCTCATTGCATATAGTTCTGCTCCCTCCCATCTATTCCTGACACAGCAGACAGGGTGACCTTTCTAAAACAAATATGCTCTGCCACTCCCCTGACTTAAACTTTCCAGATTTTATAATGTCATTTACAGATTCCCCCTCTAGCCTTTTCACAGTCTCCACCACAAACTGCACACTGCAGTGTTATGCGAATTCCTCACATTCTTAAAGTGCACTGAGATCTTTGATCCTTTGCATATGTTGTTTCCTCTGCCTGAAACATGTCCCTTCTCCACTCCCTCCAATCTTCACCTAGATAACTTACTCATCACTGAGCTCTCAGCCAAAAGGTCACTTGCACAAGAAAGCATCGCGGCCAGGCGCGGTGGCTCATGTTTATAATCCCATCCCTTTGGGAGGCGGAGGTGGGCAGATCACTTAAAGTCAGGAGTTTGAGACCAGCCTGGGCAACATGGTAAAACTCCATTCCTACTAAAAATACAAAACTAGCTGGGCATGCTTGCCCAGCTACCACAGTCCTAGCTACTTGGGAGCCTGAGGCAAGAACCCCTTGAACCTGGGAGGCGGAGATTGCAATGAGCTGAGATCATGCCCCCCTGCACTCCAGCCTGAGTGAGAATAAGACCCTGTCTCAAAAAAAAACAAAAACGAAAACAAAAAGAAAGCATCTTTTCACCCTTTAGAGGGGCCCTAACTAGAAGGTACGATGGCAGGCTTTGTCTCCTCCATCAGAACTTTCATCACACTTTAAAGATTATTTGATTTTCTGACTTTCAGGAAGCCTGTGAGTGCTTACAAGGTAGCAGAAGCCCACGCCTATGTTGTTGATAACTGTTCCTTCAGTGCCTTCTACAGTCACTTCTACAGTGACTTCCGGCATAAAGTCCTATCTTTGTGCCTCAGTTCCCTCACTAGTAATGTGGGGATGAGAAACCTACCTCAGTTTGTTTATGTATTTATGTATTTATTTTCAGACAGAGTCTTGCTTTGTCACCAGGCTGGAGTGCAGTGGTACAATCTCAGCTCACTGCAACCTCTGCCTCCCGGATTCAAGCGAGTCTCCTGCCTCAGCCTCCCAAGTAGCTAGGACTACAGGCTCGTGGCACCATGCCCAGATAATTTTTGTATTTTTAGTAGACACAGGGTTTCACCATGTTGGCCGGAATGGTCTTGATCTCTTGACCTTATGATCCACCTGCCTTGGCCTCTCAAAGCACTGGGATTACATACGTATTACAGCCACTTGCGCCTGACCTATTTATTTATTTTTTTAGACAGAGTCTCGCTCTGTTGCCCAGGCTGGAGTGCAATGGCATGATCTAGGCTCACTGCAACCTCCGCCTCCCAGGTTCAAGTGATTCTCCTGCCTCAGCCGACCCAGTAGCTGGGATTCAGGTGTGCACTAGCACGCCCTGCTAATTTTTTTTTATTTTTAGTAGAGACTGGGTTTTATCATTTTGGCCAGACAAATTTTGAATTCCTGACCTCAAGTTATCCACTTGCCTCGGTCTCCCAAAGTGCTGGTCTCCCACTGCTCCCAGCCTGTTTGTTCTGATGCAGGGTCTTGCTCTGCTTCCCAGGCTTGTGTGCAGTGGTGCTAGGACTACAGGTGCATGCCACCATGCTTGGCTAGTTTTAAAAACTATTTTGGGGCCAGGCGCAGTGGCTCACGCCTGTAATCCCAGCACTTTGGGAGGCCAAGGTGGGCAGATCACCTGAGGTTGGGAGATAGAGACTAGCCTGACCAACATGGAGAAACTCTGTCTCTACTAAAAAAAAAAAAAAAAAAATATATATATATATATATATATGTATGCACACACACACACACACACATTAGTCTGGCGTGGTGACACATGCCTGTAGTCCCAACTACTCAGGAGGCTGAGGCAGGAGAATGGCTTGAACTTGGGAGGTGGAGGTTGTGGTGAGCCAAGATTGCGCCATTGCACTCCAGCCTGGGCAACAAGAGTGAAACTCAGTCTCAAAACAAGCAAACAAAGAAAATATTTTCTGGCTAGGTGCCATGGCTCATGTCTGTAATCTTAGCACTTTGGGAGGGCAAGGTAGGTGGATCATGAGGTCAGGGGTTCGAGACTAGCCTGGCCAACATGGTGAAACCCCATCTCTACTAAAAATACTCCAGCCTAGGCAACAAAGCAAGACTCTGTCTCAAAAAAAAAAAAAAAATTAGCCGGGCATTGTGGCAGTTGCCTGAAATCCCAGCTACTCGGGAGGCTGAGACAGAAGAACCACTTTAACCCAGGAGGTGGAGGTTGCAGTGAGCCGAGACTGCCCGTGGACCCCAGCCTGGGCAACAAGAATCAAACTCCATCTCAAAAAACAAAAAACAGGCCGGGCGCGGTGGCTCAAGCCTGTAATCCCCGCACGTTGGGAGGCCGAGGCGGGTGGATCACAAGGTCAAGAGATCGAGACCATCCTGGTCAACATGGTGAAACCCCGTCTCTACTAAAAATACAAAAAATTAGCTGGGCATGGTGGTGCGTGCCTGTAATCCCAGCTACTCAGGAGGCTGAGGCAGGAGAATTGCCTGAACCCAGGAGGCGGAGGTTGCGGTGAGCCAAGATAGCGCCATTGCACTCCAGCCTGGGTAACATGAGTGAAACTCCGTCTCAAAACAAAAACAAAAACAAAACAAAACAAAACCTATTTTGTAGAAATGGGGTCTCTTACTATGTTACTCAGACAGTCTTGAATTCCCAGGCTCAAGTGATCTAACTGCCCAAAGTGCTGGGATTACAGGCATAAGTCACTGTGCCTGGCCTAGTTTTGTTGTTGTTGTTAATGTAACAACAGCCATTTTGCTATAGTTTAACAATTGTACAGGTATGGAGCAGAAGTTGGGTAGGGCTCAGGTGGGTGATTCTTCTGTCTCATGTGGCCTTGACTTAACAAGGATCACTTAATAGTTTTCAGTGGGCAGATGCACTGGTCTGGAAGGTTTCACTCACATGTCTGGCACCTTGGTAAGGATGACTGGAATGCTGGGATTAGCTGGAGCTGTTAGACAGAATACGTATGCGAGACCGCCCTAGCATGGGAGCTCAAAGTGGTAGGATTTCTTATATGGCAGTTCAAAACTACTAGTGTACCAGATAGCCGGCAACTGAAGCTGCAAAACTTCTTATGGCCTAGCTTCAAAAGGCACAGAATTTTCTGAGATCAAACGTAAAGTGCTTAAAACAGTGCCTAGCTGATAAGTTCTATTAGATATTAATTATTATTTATTTATTTTATTTTTTATTTTTATATAAAAGATGGGGTTTCACCATGATGGCCAGGCTGGTCTTGAACTCCTGACCTCAGGTGATCCACCCACCTCGGCCTTCCAAAGTGCTAGGATTACAGGCGTGAGCCACCACGCCCAGGATTTTTTTTTTTTTAAAGACAGGGTTTCACCACGTTGGCCAGGCTGGTCTTGAACTCCTGACGTCAGGGTGATCCGCCTGCCTCAGCCTCCCAAAGTGCTGAGATTACAGGTGTGAGCCACCACACTCCGCCTAATTATTCTTAAAGTAATATAAAGATGAATAAGAAGAGTCTCTTTCTCTATTTTTTTTTTTTCAAGGCGGGGTTTCACCATGTTGGTCAGGCTGGTCTTGAACTCCCAACCTCAGGTGATCTGCCCACCTTGGCCTCCAAAGTGATTGGATTACAGGCATGAGCTACCACGCCCAGCCCAAGAGTCTCTTTCTCAATAATAGTTAGGTGCTTCCTTGCATAATATATGCTTATTGCTAAACTCAGCCTCTTGCTTCTCAATTTTTTTTTTTTTTTTGAGATGTTGTCTCTCTCTGTGGCACAGGCTGCTGCAATCTCTGCCTCCTGGGTTCAAGCAATTCTCCTGGCTCAGCCTCCAGAGTAGCTGGGATTATAGGCGTGCACCACCACATCCAGCTAATTTTTGTATTTTCAGCAGATAAGGGATTTCACCATGTTGGCCAGGCATGCACCACCACACCCAGCTAATTTTTGTATTTTCAGTAGAGGAGGGATTTTACCATGTTGGCGAGGCTGGTCTCAAACTCCTGACCTCAAGTGATCTGCTCGTCTAGGCCTCCCAAAGTGCCGGGGTTACAGGCATGAGCCACCATACCTCGCCTTCTCACTTTGATCTTTTCCCTAGAGATCCTCTTCTATCCCTTTGATGAGACATTGAGCTGTACATGAGCTCAGATTGGTGTTAATATTTTACTTATTTTCATTCTTTTTTTGAGACCAAGTTTCACACTTGTTGCCCAGGCTGGAGTGCAATGGTGCGGTCTTGGCTAACTACAACCTCCGCCTCCCGGGTTCAAGCGATTCTTCTGCCTCAGCCTCCCAAGTAGCTGGGATTACAGGCGCCTGTGACCATGTCTGGCTAATTTTGTATTTTTAGTAGAGACGGGGTTTCACCATGTTGGCCTGGCTGGTCTCGAACTGCTAACTTCAGGTGATCTGCCCGCCTAGGCCTCCCAAAGTGCTGGGATTTCAAGCGTGAGCCACCGCGCCCGGCCTATCTACCTTCTTTTTTGTTTAAAGGATGGATATGTACACTAATTTCCACTAAAGTAATTACAAACATGGTAACTCCCAGACTTCTAAAACTTTGACCCTTAAGAGCTTGAATCAATAGTCGGCCACTGCGAGTAGCAGCTGTCATGACACTGCCATTTCATTTGACGAGAAGCTGCGGTTTGTCACTGCCCTCCAGCTGCGTTAAGAGGATAAAAGTGCGATGGGCACTAAAACCTAAACGTCTCTTCTGGACCTCCAGAAAAAAACAGTGCTGCTCTAGGTAGGGCGCGGTGGCTCACGCCTCTAATCCTAGCACTTTGGGAGGACCAGGTGGGCGGATCATCTGAGGTCAGGACTCAGAGACCAGCCTGGCTACGATGCTGAAAGCCCGCCTCTACTAAAAATACAAAAATTAGCTGGGCGTGGTGGCACGTGCTTGAAGTCCCAGCTACATGGGAGCTTGAGGCAGGAGAATCGCTTGAATTCAGGAGGCAGAGGTTGCAGTGAGCCCAGATCACGTCACTGCACTTCAGCCTGGCGGAGACACACTGCATCTCAAAAAAAAAAAAAAGTGCTGCTCTAGCCGGGCATCTGCGGCCTCTTCGTCTCTATGGTAGTCTTTTCCTGTGTCCTAGTGTTGCATGATGGGAGAAATAGTCTACCTTCCGGGAGCAGCGCCGGGGCAGGGGCTTAACACGGAACTCCATTTCCCGGCTTGCCTAGCGAAGGCCGCTCAACTCAGAAGCGGGAGGCCGGTTCCGGTTGCATCAGCGTGGGATTACGGCAAAATGAGACTGTTCGTGAGCGAGGGTGCCCCGGGTAGCTTGCCGGTGTTGGCCGCCGCCGGGAGAGCCCGGGGCAGAGCAGAGCTGCTCATCAGCACTGTAGGCCCGGAAGGTACTCGGGCTGGTGCTGGTGGGCGGTGGATGAGGGGGGCGGGACCGAAACACGCCAGATGCTCTGCAGTTGTCTTTGCCAAAACCCCAGCCCTCGCTACACACCCCAGTCGACTTCTTCTCCTGTTATCTTTGATCACTCCACGCCCTCTTCCCTTCCACTCACATCTTTCACTTCCTTTAATTACTCTCAATATAATATCCTTCCCTTATCTCTCTCCTCCCCTCTTCAGACTTCCAGGACACTGCCTCACCTCAATAAACCGCTCTTCCCAACCTTCTACACCTATCAGGCACCCTGCTGCTCTTTAGTTACTAGCATGACAGCCCCGAGGCACCCTTTTGTTTTCTTAGGAAATCCCTCTCTCCCCTCCTAACACACACACACATTCCTTTCTTCTTACCTCTTCTCATTCTTTGCCGATTGTTTGGGTGACTCTTAAGACGTTCTCTTGTCAGTCTCCCCCAGGTCTCAATTTTGTTCTCCCACTGTGACCTTCAGATCATTATGAAGATATCCCAGTTACTTTCAGTCGTTAAGTTCTTGGCTGCAGCACTATCCCAATGCCACCACCTCCTCTGCAATCCCCATCTGTTGTTTCCAGCTGGCATTTTCAGCCTGAACACCTGCTGGCCTCTCCAGCCCATTCTGGACCCACCCCCTTTCAGTGGTCCTATCCTGGAACTTCTGGGTTGAGACTTCCCATCTTTCTTTTCTTACTCACTGAACAATACCAGGTTATCCTAAGTTGACAAAGCATTTCTTTTTTTCCTCTATTTTTTTTTTAACCCATTTTCCATTCCTACATCAGATTGTGTGGTCCCATTCCTGACCCGGCCTAAGGTCCCTGTCTTGCAGCTGGATAGCGGCAACTACCTCTTCTCCACGAGTGCAATCTGCCGGTCAGTATTGGTCCCTGGTGCAGGGAGGTGGCTGAATCAAATCAGGCCTCACTGTCCTTTGTGTGGCCTGATTTGCAGCCACTGTTTCACTGTGTGATGAGAAATGGACTCGATAAATGGGCCCCTCTAAATCCATCATCTGTTGCTCTCTCCCTGGGCAGGTATTTCTTTTTGTTATCTGGCTGGGAGCAAGATGACCTCACTAACCAGTGGCTGGAATGGGAAGCGACAGAGCTGCAGGTAGGACCAAGGTATGGGGGATGTCAGGCAGGCCCTTGCTCTGCATGGCCATCCTGACTCGTGTCCCCTGCATTTTAGCCAGCTTTGTCTGCTGCCCTGTACTATTTAGTGGTCCAAGGCAAGAAGGGGGATGATGTTCTTGGTTCAGTCCGGAGAGCCTTGACTCACATTGACCACAGCTTGCGTCGTCAGAACTGTCCTTTCCTGGCTGGGGTGAGTTGGGTCTTGAGATGAGGATTGGGGAAGGCTTATGGTGTAAGGATTAAGAGGGAAGACTATTCAGAGTGTTCGAACCCAACACTGCCACTTACTAGTAGTGTAATCTTGGCAAATCACTTAATCTCTCTAATCTTTAATTTTTTCCAGCTGTGAAATAGGGGTAATATTAGTACCTATCTCAGTGAGTTATTGTGTGGATAAAGTGAGATCATATAAAGTGCTTAATACAGTACTTGACACATAGTAAGTGCTCAGTAAATGTTAGATATTACCATTGGGAAGAAACTGAGTGTCTCATTTGTGTTACCTTTTCTCTTTCTATCCCCAATAAAGGAGACAGAATCTCTGGCTGACATTGTTTTGTGGGGAGCCCTATACCCATTACTGCAAGATCCCGCCTACCTCCCTGGTGAGAACTGTGCATATCACTCCAACCCTAGGAGCTTGGTGGAGGGGTTATAGAATGGGCAGTAGAATGCTGAGAACTCCCTTCAAGGTGCAGCTTGACTGGGCAACTATAGCAGAAGATGGCTGAGGGAACTGGGGAAAGCAACTGGAGAAACCTCAAGAAGAAGGGGGAAGAGGCCCGCTCCTCCCTGCCAGGACCTTATGTTTGCTGATTTTCTTTTCTTTTTTTTAATTTTTATTTATTTATTTTTTAAAGACGGGGTTTCACCATGTTGGTCAGGTTGGTCTTGAACTCCCGACCTCAGGTGATCTGCCCGCCTTGGCCTCCAAAGTGCTTGGATTACAGGAGTGAGCCAACATGCCCGACCACTGATTTTCTTTTCTCTCATACCCACAGAGGAGCTGAGTGCCCTGCACAGCTGGTTCCAGACACTGAGTACCCAGGAGCCATGTCAGCGAGCTGCAGAGACCGTACTGAAACAGCAGGGTGTCCTGGCTCTCCGGCCTTACCTCCAAAAGCAGCCCCAGCCCAGCCCCCCTGAGGGAAGGGCTGTCACCAATGAGCCTGAGGTTTGGAACAGGGAAGAGCTTTGAGGCCTGAGGTGGGAGGTGGCTAGGAGATGCACTCTGAGAATGGCCACTAACTTTTTCAGGTAGTGGCAAGCCTGTGGGCCCCCACCATCTGGTAAGGGATTCTCTCCACTCTTCATAGGAGGAGGAGCTGGCAACCCTTTCTGAAGAGGAGATTGCTATGGCTGTAACTGCTTGGGAGAAAGGCCTAGAAAGTTTGCCTCCGCTGCGGCCCCAGCAGAATCCAGTGTGAGTAGACATGGCACACATGAGTAGGGCTTGATTTTGTAGTGGAAATTGTTGATAGAGCCAGAACCTGCCTGCTAGGTCCCCTTTGCTGACCTCTCTTTAATTTTCTATCCTCTCCTTTTAATTCTCACACCTCTTTTTTTTTTTTTTTTTAATTTTCTCTAGCCACTCCATCTGTCCCATCTGTACCCATGTTTTACTTTTCCTTTCTTTTCTTTTTTTTTTGAGACAGAGTTTTGTTCTTGTTGCTCAGGCTGCAACTTCCGCCTCCTGGGTTCAAGCAATTCTCCTGCCTCGCCTCCTGAGTCGCTAGGATTATAGTTGTGCACCACCATGCCTGGCTAATTTTTTTGTAGAGACGAGGTTTCACCATGCTGCGCAGATAGGCTGGTCTTGAACTCCTGACCTCAGGTGATCTACCTGCCTTGGCCTCCCAAAGTGCCGGGATTACAGGTATGAGCCACCACACCTGTCCCTGCACCCATGTTTTTCAGCTACTTTTTACTCACTGTTAGGAGCTAAATCTATTTTTCCAGTCAGATCTGTATTCTGAGCTCCAGACACATTTGCCAGACTGCCCTAGACTCCTTTACCTCAACAGGCATCTCAAATTCAACATGTCCAAAACCAAACCTGTTATCTTCCTTGCCAACTGCCCTTTTTATTTATACACCTGGCTTTGTTGAACAGCCTCCACCTTCCACCTAAAAATCCAAGCTAGAAATCTTGGTGTCATCTAGACTTCTTCCTTTCTCCCTACGTGTATTATTTGCCACCGTGCTCGGCCTATAGACAGGTATTTTAAAAACTGTCTCACAAATGTAGAATTACACATTTTGAAAAGTCCAGGCCGGGTGTGGTGCCTCACGCCTGTAATCTCAGCACTTGGTGGGTGGATCATTTGAGGTCAGGAGTTCGGCCAACATGGTGAAACCCTGCCGCTACTAAAAATACAAAAATTAGCCAGGCATGGTGGTGGGCGCCTATAGTCCCAGCTACTCGGGAAGCTGAGGCAGGAGAATTGCTTGAACCCGGTAGACGGAGGTTGCAGTGAGCCCAGATCGCGTCACTGCACTGCAGCCTGGGTGACAGAGTGTGACTCCATTTCACACACACAAAAAAAAGACTTAAACAAATTTGAGACCTGCAAAATAAGTAGGGATTAGGCAAGAGTAAGAGTGGAGAGAGAGTGTTTCAGAGAGAGGAAACCTCATATGCAAAGACCTGAGGAGCAAGAGAATTTGCCTTTTAAGGAATTTCTAAAAGGAGAGTGGTGGCACGCTGGTCAGTTGGGGGCACATGGGTCAAAATGAGTTTTGAGAGGGAGTTGGGGCTGGCATCATACCATTGTCTTTCACCACGTGCCTCTATGCATACTGTTCCTTCGCCCTGCAATGCCAGCGTCTTACCTGCCTGATGCGCAACTCTTCTTGCAGAGAGGAGTTCTGTTTTTCCCTTCTCTATAGAGTGTGAGACAGTCTTAAGTGCTTCAACTTCTAGGAGGTCCCACTGTCATACTATGTTGCAATTGTCACATTCTGTGTCTGTTTCTTCAAAAATCTGTAACCTCATTGAAGGTAGAGATGTCTCTTTTATGGGGTTCAGTTGCTAGCACAGGGCAAAATGTTCAGTAGATATTGATAAAATTTGAATGAATTTATGAAAGTCCATCCTTGTTTTGTTTGTTTTGAGTATATCTTGAGTATATATTGTGGATTCAGTTTAATACTAAGCATTTTCAAGGCTAACACAGGATAGGAAAACGTGGCTGGGCACCGTGGCTCATGCCTGTAATCCCAGCACTTTGGGAGGCTGAGGTGCGCAGATCACCTGAGCTCTTCGGACTTCAGATAGTGGCTAGAGATAATAGTAACATAGCACCTGGACAGAAGGGGAGAAGCCAGCACTGAGAAAGTGTTCTTGGGAGTAGTGAGAAGATGATTGGACAGAGCCTAGGGAGAGTTTGAGCCTGCGAATCAATGAGGTATTAGAAAAGAAGCAGTCACGATAGTAAAAGTGACAGAAGTTGCTATTGGAACAAGGCTCCTTCATACCAGTACATGAGACTTCCTCACTGTGGCAGGGCCCTGTACTTGCAGCTGTAGGGGATCTTAGGGTCATTGAGGGTGCTGGTCCTGTGGGTTAGTGTGCAGAAAGACTTCAGGTGTACATGAACATACAACAGTAGAACAAATTGTCTCAGTGTCCTGTGTACTTTGGTCCCTCTTGACCCTCACCCCACCATGCACTGTTCTCTTCCTCCTTCCTTACCAGGTTGCCTGTGGCTGGGGAAAGGAATGTGCTCATCACCAGTGCCCTCCCTTACGTCAACAACGTCCCCCACCTTGGGAACATCATTGGTTGCGTGCTCAGTGCTGACGTCTTTGCCAGGTGGAGCCAGTTGCTGGGAGAGAGACCTCCTAAGGGCAGGGCAGGTCCCAGGGGAATGGGATGCCTCAAGGGTGGGGCTGGGAAGATTCCCAAGGACATGGGAACGCTGAGGTGGGACCCCCAAGATCATCATATTCCCTTGCAGGTACTCTCGCCTCCGCCAGTGGAACACCCTCTATCTGTGTGGGACAGATGAGTATGGTACAGCAACAGAGACCAAGGCTATGGAGGAGGGACTGACCCCCCAGGAGATCTGTGACAAGTACCACATCATCCATGCTGACATCTACCGCTGGTTTAACATCTCGTTTGATGTTTTTGGTCGCACTACCACTCCACAGCAGACCAAGTAAGTTTCCTCTAATGAGGCAGAAATGGGGTTTGAAGGCTGGGACTGGGAGTAGTGAGTACCCTGGAGACAGAAGGGACCCAGGTGGCTGTCTGGGTACTCCTAAACTTAGGGTCTCAGTATCACCCTGGCCAGTTGTTCAGGCATTCTTGAGGGGAGTCGGTGTGTGTAGAAGCCTGACCAGGGGCTGAAGGAGCAGATGAGGGAGGGAAGAGACCAGATGCAGGCCCATGGGAAGTATCTGTCTTCCCTCTAGTGCCTCCCTTCTACTCTGGCTGCCCTGGAATCTAAGACCGTTCTTCCCACTCTTGTATGCGTTTAGAGCACATAAACTCATTCTTCCTCTGCCTAATACTCATTCTTATAAAAACTGCTTAGTAGACAGGCCGCCAACTGACAGTGC